GCAATGTTATTGTCACTTAGTACTCAATTCTTAGTACAATCTTTCTGCTTTAAATATCACCTTGTGGGCTTACAGAATTAACAACTTACAAAAACACTACCAGCATATAAATGACAATTTAAAATTAAAAATATTACTGTATTAGCTTTATTAGTAGTGTCTGAATAAATTACAGACTTATGTCTCTGGTAAAAATAAATCATATTTTAATTTGGGGATTATGTGTGCTTCTACTTAATGGGTCTTATGCATACATTATTTGAATTACATTAATACAATGTTCACAGTTGTTTCAAATGATATTTTATATGATGTCGAACCTCCTGACCTTTTTACACCCGTTCCCTCTTTTCATCATGAATTCAGAAAATAGTCCCGTTTATAGTCTTTATAGATTGGGACAAAAATAGCCAAATTTTAAAACTGAAAATTGACTCAAATTGTGTCTGTTGGATCCAAAATTAGGGTTTATTTTCAGAAATAGTGAAGAACACAAGAAAAAAAGTTCTGAAAAATTTGGGCGAGAGTCTTGTGGTGAAAATGGTTTCCCATGTTGGATATGCTGGAGGTAAACAAAAATATTCCAAAATTTTGACATTTTGAACAGAACTATAGGAATGAATGAAAAAACGCACATAACATTTTTTTTTATGAAAATAAAGAAAATATAAATTTGATTGATTGCTGTATTAGAACAATGGCCAATACAAACTTTTCCCAGTCTCTCTTTTTTTATTTTCATTTCCAATGACATCCGCTTGTGTCAAATATCTATCTAAGAGATGTGAACAATGGTGATGAACAACATATTATTCAAAATGTGGGTGCTAGTATTTTTTGTTGAATTCCCCCTGCTGCTTGTACTCACCTCCAGAGGGCGCTACAACAAGAAGTTTATTGAATATTCAGTTTCCAGGATAATAAATTATTATGTATTCTTGAAGGGCGATGGTCGTCGCCTCGCGTCCTGTTCGATATGTGACATATAATGCCGTACACAACATGTGAAAATTCATTGTTTACATGAAATTGTGCTGCATGACGACCACTGTCTTTGAATGTTTTTGCAAAGTGTTACATAACAAACTACAGAATGTGGTGTGACCGTGTGAGGCCAACTCTAGGCTGGATTCAGTTGAGAGGTTAGGCTCATCAACTATTGTAAAAATACTCTATTTTCACTGAAGGGATGATTAAGTGAAAATAAAATCAAGCAAATATACCTTTATCCGTATATTTTACATTCAACTTGTCAAAAATCAGTAAAAACAAATTCCATACATAACGCTCAGGGAAAATTAATTCCAGCTAAAATAATGTATTTTACAATATTGAAGACTACTACAGGCAGTTGTATTATTGACTGCTTTTATTATATGACTGGGAATTTTATTATAGTTGGTGAACAACTACATCACCAAATTTTGAAAAACTCTTCACTTATTTTTCGGAAAAAAAATCATCTTACTGTCACCAGATTCGGCCAACTCTTAAGAAACAACTCTTAGTATTGCCACTAGAGGGCGCTACAACATGATGCTACTTACTGGTACTCTAGGTTCAAGATTCTGTGTTAGTTATTTCTAACTTCGGTGTCATCGAAAATGCAGAGCTGTTCATATAGGTTATTGTCCACTGCCTGTCATCTGTTCATTTTCAACATTTTCTTGCAAACTAGCAGCCTAATTTATACTAAATGATACTTTGACATGATGGATGGACCTCTGTCAGATTTTCTATCAATCCAATTGCCTTGAGACTTTGAATGAACATACCATGTGTGAACCTGTCAGATTTGTTAAATTCATGAAAACATCTTTCATCTCTATTTTTAACGGAGACTTTTGTAATTTTTTTCACAAAAATATGATGACTTCCTTGAAAATATCAGCTCAATTGCTTTGATAGTTGGTATTTGCATGACAATTACCGTATAAACCAACTACCAGTACTGTAAAATGACTAATTTTCACTGGGTTTAAATTTCACTGATTTAGGATTTCAGGAATATTCAGTGGGTTTTAATTTCACGGTTTTATCATTTAGATAATGTGTTCTATGCTAAATTTTACATATTCACTGGGTTTTAATTTAGCGCATTTTCAAGTCAGCGAAATAGGCAAAAACTCAGTGAATAATTAACATATTTACAGTACCATGGTAGTAATATTAACCATGGCAAATAGCTGATCTAATCATATAGAAAAATAATCCAATAATTCTGTGCACAATTTCAGGAAAAAATAAATAGGCTAGGGAAACCATTTTCTGTTTTCTTTAACTTGTCTGAGAATTTTGCAAGATTACTGCATTATAGACATTGATCGGTGTGTGAAACTTATCAGGGGGTCCTCCCCGCAGACAACCCATCATGAACTGTATCAACTTGGATCTGTTCAGATAAAGTGAGCCACCAACGGCATTAATATGCACACTTTTTTTTTTCTTAATTCACATTTGTACAACAAATCTTGAACATGGTTAAATCCTAGATATTTTGATCCTTCAAACATTACCAGCATTAGTCACAAATTAAGTTATACAAATGAGCATCTACACCTGAGTAACACCCTCTCTTTTGCTCACCAATATCCGTATATTTGACCATCATTTCACCAATTATTTCTTGCCAGATTCTGTTCAACCAGTATGTGTTTAAAAGTGCGCCCTCTTTGGCAAGTTTACACCCTGCTCTTGGTTTATTTCCCTTGCCATAAGTTATGCCAACTTTGATTGACCGCATAATTTAGAGGTATGTCCAATCAGATCATTGTACCGAATTTGTGACCTTTCATTGCCATTCTACTATGTTTTGATTGGGCACAGGATTTAGAAATTATGAAAATAAAACAAACTTTTGATGTACACATGTTTAACTGACAATAACAATGACAACAAACACGAATATTCTGTTTAGATCTTTTCAATTCCTTTGTACATATCCTGGACAAGAAAAGTTATCCTCCAGCCTGTCTTTTATGTTTCTGGCATAGTCATTGTTAATGGTACATGCAACTTCTTCTGAACTTAGAGTTAACCTTTTCACCACAAGACTTTCTCGCCCTGATTTTTCTGCACTTTTTTTTTCTTATGTTTCTGGAAATGAACCCTAATTTTTGGGCCAACAGACAAAATTTGAGTCAATTTTCAGTTTTTACTCAAAAAATTTGGCTATATTTGACCCAATCTGCAGACTATAAACAGGGACTATTTTGTGAATTTGTGAAGAAAAGAGGGAACTGGTAGTGAAAAGGTTAAGGGAAACCTGAACTAGAAATTAGTGAAGTTCACTGAAGTAGACATGGATTATTTAAACCTGTTGATTGTTTTTGAGAGAAGGAAGGAAGGATTGTGCCTTGGTGTCAAGAAAGAATATGGTTGTAAAGGGAGATGAGGGAGGAATGGTTGGTGTCAAGATACCCCAATGCTGCACCCCTTAGTGAATAAAATAAAGTTTTTTGGGTGAATGACAGGGAAAACCAAAAGGATTTTTTTTGTTTCAGTTTTCAAGGATTTCTACACTTAAGACAGTACCGGTAATATATTTTATGCGGGAGGGGGGGGGGGTGCATCATAAATCTGGTCAAGTTGAAGTGTATACACAAGGGAGAATTTGATATGCTGAAAAATAAACCAGTCAACAAACAAGCTGCTCTCTGATTCGTCTGTTAGGTATTGAGTAACCAATCAGACACAATCTTGTAAGTAGCTTTGGACTGACTCCAAATTTAGTTTGCCAGCCACATGTATTTGGCCAGTAGAGTCTGTACACTCACCAAGGGTTAGCGTTAACTACAGAATGAGAAGCAAAAGCTTGTATCTGGCTTTTCCCTAGATAAATCAGTATTGGCCACTGTAACTAACAATTTTTTAGTTCCCAGTAATTTGAAATATGCTACAATAAACAATTATTACATAAAATAATTTTACCCCAAAAAATCATAAATATCTCAAGGTTTCACTACTTTTATTCTATGTACAACATCCATATTTCTGTCCCAAAACACATACATCTTGTTCTTGTTCAAAGTGATCATTGTAAATTACTTTGAAATCACAAAATGTTGTAGCACTTGATATACTTGGACCATGTCAGCGACTTTCGCAAAATTTGGACTCCATAAATGCCATAAAATCATGCAAAATATATCTTCAAAACTAATTTTTAACTGAAATTGTTAGCATTTTGGTTGCTAAATTATGAATTTCTGATCCTATACAAAGACATGGTTCATATCGGGTAAAAATCACATTATTTTTTATCACCGTATTTTTAATTACCTATCAAAATATAAACATAATTTCTTCCCCATTACCATGGTAATGACTTATTGTATTCAAATTGAATTATATAATAAAACAATGGTCTCCCTAGTATCCACGTTCTTCCTAAATTTGGTGTGATTTGTTTCAACGTAAACCAAGACTGTTAATATGTACAAATAGGGTTTTCATTCAATGTTTTTTTGAGATTGCCAGTTAATTCACAAAAGAAACCCCTTCTCTTTTTTAATGAGCCATGGGCCTCAAATCCCAACCAGGTGAGAAATAACACATGTGGGATGTCTATTTCCTGTAAACAATAGCTGAATACATTTTAATTAGATACTTCTAGGTCTTCTAATGAGGTATGCTGCTAATTGCAAAAGCTGCTAAAATTACCTAGAATTTCATCATGATCTAAACATGGAAGGTACTAACATTAGTACCTTCCATGATCTAAACACGCTGTCTGTCAGCTGATATAATTCCACTGTATATATTGTAGTTAGACATCATTTTATCAAAAATGATAAAAATGTTTACTAAAATTAGCAAATTAAGCTTGTGGTTACAAAATATCAGAGGTCAACCCAAGATACATATATAATAAGTATCAAAGCAAGCAGATTTTCAAGAAGAATTTGAAAATGTAAAGTTAACAACAACAGACAAACAGAAATATGCTCTACTCTGGCGATTAAGTCAACAGCAGAGCTAAAAAAATGTGACCAATCATGTTTGGAGGGTATAAGAGGTGATTTTATTGATGTAACCAGTTTACAGTCAATACTGTAAACACATTCATTATTTACTAGTTTTCAATTTCGCTATTTTTTTTGATAAGTAAAATCTACTAAATTAAATTCACATGTAAAGTAACAATTGTGAACTCATTGTTTTTCTACTAAGTTCATGAAACATCAAAACTCAGTGAAATTTCACAAAGCATCGAAATAGTGAAATGTCAGTAAAAATAAATGATTTTACAGTACATTAACTGCTCTTCCAAATCAAAATAGAAGACAATGCATGGAAAAACAAATCAATAATAATCTGCATGGATTGAAACCAAGTTAAGAGAATATGAAATACAAAATACTCTGTAGAAATAGTAAATATATATATATTGTGAATCTACCACAAAACGGTGGTCAACTTACTCTAGAAGAAACTTGGACGGGAAGGTAAGCCTATTGCCAGGGAAGTTAATGCATAAAACCCATATACATCTTGGATTTGAAAAGTACATAAGTACATGCATTGAAAATTGCTTTGGGATTGCCAGGTCTGATGCAGACTTGAATTAATAACTTTCTTGTTTCAGCAATATTTTTTTTGGTATTATTTCTAGGCAGTGTGATATAATCATACAACCACAAATTAACGAAGAAATCTTATAAAAGGATATACATTTTTTGTATCAGTACACTACAGATAAAAATCAGTGAAAGTAAACTCCAGTGAAATAAGTAAGTAGTATATGTCGAATTCATGAAAATAAATTACTTATGTTTTAACGGTGAATAAGCATATCAACTATATTATTTGGAATATACGTCAGTCTAACGAAATAAATCATTAGACAATAATCCTAATAATAATAATGATATAACTGAAAATCTATAAAACAATTTCCGTTTTTTTAACACCTTTAGAGGGTTTAGTAGGATAACAAGATATTTTTTGAATAAGTTTTTTTTGCACTGCAAAACAATGCAATAGACTTTATTCCATTGCATAAGCGTTCACTGATCTGTAATTCTCTTTTTTTATTTGCATTTAATTATGATTAATTAAATCCAGACCAACTTTTTCAATATATCAATCAATCGATTGCGTGATCTATTTTTACCAAATTTTTTTTTACACTTATACGAAGTTTACACTTTGAGGTACATGTATATTAAATATAAATAATACAAAAAATAAATATCTTGCGCTATTTAATTGTCAAGACTGGAGATCGATATAGTTTGTTCTTGATCAGTCTAAATCCCGGGCTTACTGTTATTGAGTTTCTATGCGCAAATTTTAGACAAGTTGGAAATGTCAAACTGAAGAAAGTTTTGTCAATTCGCTGAAGGGTCAGATGAATTTCAAACGTTGCCACAGTGTCAGGATCCACAGCAATTTTACCGAGCTTTCGAATATGTCTCCCGTCCTCCATCGTAATGAATGTTGTACAGCCTCTAATACCACACGGTTCACATTCTGACATTCGCATAATGTCTTGCGCAATCCTTAAAGTTAGATTGCATGGTATGTACATTTCGCAGTCTAGTTTAACTTCTTTCGCAGTCCTAAGAGTTTCAAATATACGCTTTGATAGACTTTCACACGTTTCCTTTTCATCTGGGTCTTCGAATGTACCGTAACTATTCTCGTTTACAGACACTGTAAATAAACAGAAAGAATGATCAGGTATATATTCTGGAATTCAGCATGGCAAGTAAAGTCCAAGCTTCACAGACACACAGATATTTCTTGACAGAACTAATATGGTAATTCTCTAGCACATGAACAGAAAATCAAACATTGAATGAAATCCCATTATAGTTACAGAATTCGGAAAAATTTAATTTATGTTTCATGAAAATAAGAGTAACAACAAAGAAAATCAGAGGGCACAACATTTTACTTTGCAACTTCAGAAGTTACTAATAGCAACAAACAATGTATCCTTGACGACTTCTCTTCCCAGAATTACCAACTTGATTTGGGGTTGATTTTAATTTGACTTAGAGTTCCTACAAAATCAGTTCTGTTACGAGGCACAGTGTTAACAATGTAACACTAACAAAACCAGTGTGTGCTGACTGCAATACATATTCCTCACTATTCCTCAATGGTTTTACCCACAATACTCAGTCTTAAAAAAACACTGCCAAGCCACCTTATTAATTGCACCACAAGCAAATTATTGTTTTTGGAGGTGGTTGAATTAAAGCAGAATTGAGTGGTTTATTTATTTATTGAGTGGGCGTTCGCCAGTACATGCTAACTTGATTTCAGGACTGAAACATGTCAATGGAAATAAGTCTCAGAAGTGTAACTATTTTTATATTTCTAGTCAATAAAGTGAAATTAGAAAATGCATTCAAATCCCAGTAAAAATCTGTACTTTTGAAATGTTACCCCCCCCTCCAAGTAATATTTTGCCCCTAAATATATTCCTCATCTCTGCACATTGAACTACCACCCACATGGTAGACTTTGCAATTTCCTGGTTAGTCATGGTGGATGTGTTTGACATAAAACTGATTGTTACGATATCCTCTATTCTCCAAAAAGCATCCTGTGTAATATCAAAGACTACCGTTCTGTTCAATTAAAAAAATTCAAAAGACATTGCCATAATAGACTAAGAAAAAACAATTATTTTTGTTCGGCACTTCCAGAATCATACAAAAATATAATTATTTTAACTCTCTCTCAGGCAAATTTGTTTTCTTAGCAGCAAAGATTTCAGTGTTCTGTTCCACAGGCATTGCTGTAACTCTAACTTTCACATGCAATAATTGTTGACACACAAAAAAAAAAATTGTCACATTTGTGTAATTGATAATTTTGAACCAATTTTTGAAAAAAACGGGAAAAAATTATGGATGTTTATTTTGCCACAGTCTCCATGGACTGTGATTTCATGAAAGGAGACAAATGGTGAGTGACTCAGTCACAATTTACAAGCAAACCACTAGATAATCAAGTTTTTGACACTTGATTTTATTTTCAAATAAAGTATTCTGCAGTGGTAGTATTCTTAGATACGCTCTTGTACAACAACAATTTTTTTTTATAAATTCAATATTTTATTAAATGTTTTTGGTTAGACCACAACTATACAGGACATGGAGTGTGATCAAGGTTTGTAGTCGCTCATCCCCACAAAAAGCTGGGACCTTGCAGGCAAGTTTCCCCAGTCATTAATTGGTTATATTTGTTCATTGGTGGTGCATGTCCACTTCCTGTTTGTCTATTTGATTTTTTGTGAGCAAAATCTCCATAAATATACAATATATAATTCTAATTGTGGCATACAAGCCTGCAGTTATAATCCTAGTCATGTTGATCCAATATGTAGCAACAACCAAGATTAGGGCTCATTAAACTCTACAGGGGTTTTTAATTAAATAAACAGCTGATTAAATTTGCCTGGTGTGATGTAATCATTTTTATTTTCCCCTCCTGAGATTGAAATTTAAAAATCTGACCTTTATAAAGATCACTTTTTACCAAAAATGACAAAAATATTCACCAAAATTAGAGAATTAAAGATAACATTACAAAATGAATAAATCTGAGAGAGGTCCACATGTAGTACCTATATATGTAATATCAAAGCAATTGGACTTGCGGTTTTTAACAAGAAGTCGAAAATATCACTTTTTACCAAAAATGACAAAAATATTCACCAAAATTAGAGAATTAAAGATATGATCACGAAATGAACAAATCTGAGAGAGGTCTACCCAAGGTACATATACACCAAGTATCAAAGCATTCAGGCTTGTAGTTTTCAAGAAGAAGTCGAAAAAGTAAAACATTGACACGGACGACAACAGACGACGGCGGACAATCACTCATATGATAAGCTCCGCTGTCGACTTTGACTAATTAAAAAATTGTGAATAAATAAGCTTATTTGCCGTGATTTAATTGCCCTGTTTTTATCTACATGTAAAAAATAGCCCCAGGGGTGAGGAAGTGTTGAACTTGGTAGTGAATTGAGAAACACGTGATAGAGCCACTGCAATGAAACTGGTCTGCGTCAATAACATGCTCGCGAATCCGCGAAAGCGACGACCTTCCATTGTATGTAAATTAGGTCAGAGTTCACGGCTATTTTTAAACATGTGCCGATTTGATTTTGAGGTTGTTTTGCATGGAATTTTCCGCAATTACTTGTTTTTCAAAATTTAACTGGAGATATTTTGTCAACTATGTTTATGCATACATTTATGGTCAGTGTGTGATTGGTTTTAATTTTAAAACGTTTTATTAACGCTCCGATATTTCTAACAGTTCCGTGTTGGTCCACATGGTTCAAGTTTAATTTACATCACGGCGTATTTTTTTACCAACACGATTACATTACGTATTCATATTTTTAAACATTTGTTAAACTACACAAATAATTTTAAGAAATTAAAATTGAATAGCATCGATTCTAGTTCACATGAACACTGGCACCAATTTCGCAATTTCTGCAAAGGATGTGTCATCATTTGAAACCGGAAAGGGTGTCAAAGTCAGGGGTAATACGTCGTTGACTAATGAGGTACAAACGAGTCCAATTGAATTTTGATATGAAGTGTAAAATCATCGATCGATCCACTCAAAGACAGTATAGCATACGTACGGGGTTATTCGGTCTCCGTGTCAATGACCAGAGACGCTGTGTCAGTGATATATGTAACAAGGGTGCCCGTCTGCCGCGGTCTGGTCTGGTCTGCGCTAGACAGACAGTGCAGTAGAAGCAAACACAAGTTTATTCGTACACAAAATGAAGAAAGAGAATTATACAATTGTTTCCTTTCCAAGTCGTACGTATTTTTACTGTATCACATTACGAAGTCACAAAACAATATTATATTAAGCCAGGATGCAAACAACACGTTACATTTACCTGAATTCTGCGTCCACTCCCTAGTCTTGGCAGTCTCAATCACAGAGCTAGTTGGGGTAACTTTCCGTTTACCAAGTAAAATATCAGCCAATTTATCAAGCAATCGATGCAAAGCGTAGGTGATACCAACTTGCTGCTGGGTCTCCATCTCAACGCTGTCGAGCCTCGAAACTCTATCGGCAGTGGACTGCATTGTGTCTATCGAGGCGGTTGCTTTGGTCGTCTGACTTGACTTCGCGAGAGCTCGGTCACGAGAATTCAGTTTCAAGCTGTACAAAGCAGTCATTCAAGTTATATTCGCTCTGGCTCAATCGGTTCACGAACAGAACATATATACAACAGCTTTAACAGAGAAGATATGAGCTGGCAGAATCAGCTGTTCGTTCTGCTGCTGCCTAGACGAGAGCAATCAGCTGAGTGAAGAACACAAGGGAGATAGTGCGCATGACCGGAGACGCACAGTTATAGCCCACATATCATTTACATAAATTGTTTCCTGAAATGGCCATCAATAAAACGTCATCAAAGGGCAGTAGAGTGTCTACAATGCGTCAGTAGGTGCGGCTGTCTGCGTTTGTGTTCAGATAACAATTCCGTTGTCTGAGGTGTATGGGAGCTGTGATGATTATTATCTTTCGAGTAGCCATGTAAGACAAAGTTTTCGAGATTACCACCAGTTTGATATAAAGTGATCACTCCCGTATGAGCGTTGTTTTCCAGGGCAGCGGAGAAAACAAATAAATTATGTTAATGTTCAGGACGTGCACAGTGGCATGATACCGTGACCTCAGCGTCCAGTGGCAAAGACTATTACACGTTGAGTTGTTTATTTCACTCACCTGTTGACTAAAAAGTGATATATTATGTTTATGCACACGCATTTATGTGTTTTTCACAACCGTGTTTGTCGACGTCAACAATCAACAATTGGTATATTGGAGGGTTAAACACATCGCGTCTCTCATTTTAGCAGCTACTATTTATTAGGAGTTTTTATCCAAAACCAAAAATAAAGTTCGAAGTACATCTATATACATTTTAAGTGGATTGCACGTCCATTTGTTTTTTTATTAAAGTTTGTGTGCATAATTTTGTTAATATTTATGATTTGTTTTTTTATAATTTCAATGAACCAATATTTTGAAACGATAATCAATATTTTCGAAAAAAATGGACACACTTGTGTGAATTTATGTTGTGAAAGATGAAATAAGCTGACCCCGGCGTTCAGAAGACCAATTCTTAAAAAAAAATACATTTGTAACAGGACATTTGTACATAGCTGTTTCCGTTTCGCTACCGAAAAATAGAGAAAACAAACGGCTGCAGCTGGGGTATGTTTGTACATAATTTAATATCACAGTATAACTCGTATGTTATTTTAACCAATCGGAGATATTATACCAGTCAGTCTGCATGTTTATAACCATTGTCGATTTTTTGGGCCCTGATTGGTGACGGAATGTAGGCTGTGTCCGAGTCCGTCGATCTAAACAAGTCGGAGACTAGCACTCATACAATGGCGGGCACTTCAGTTCGAAAGCCAAACGAGGGTTCGTTTGTGTGTGTCTGTGTGTTTTAAAAGTTAGCGGGGAAGGGTATTGGTGACATAAGGGTACTGGCGCGGTTATCCCAAGCTGTCTCGGACAAGTATTTATTATATCGTACTTATTAAATATGAATAATCAGTTACTCTGGGTGAAACAAAGCCATTCCTTTCATTTGTATAGATATTTATAAATTCCACAATTCAAACTGAAACGAAAGGTTTCTCTTGACCGATTAAATAACATTGGAACATTTTCGAATGGCGTCGCTGTGCATTGTGCTCGTTCATTGACTGGTTTTATTCAACTGCCATTGAAATGTATATATTTATAACGATGAAGGAAATACATTTGTTGCGCTGATAGTAGCAAAGCAACAGTTACAGATAACCCCTTTATATTAAAATAAACATTTTAATCATGGTGAAAACAATTACAAAATGGAATACAGTTTTTGCATGTTTCGCACAACCCAGGAAAGTATTTAGCATAACCTTTATTAATAAACTTTATTATATTAACAATGCAAATTTAACCAAAGACAATAGAAAAGATGTCTTCTAATGTCTTTGATTTAACTACCTTGGTTTCAAATTAGGCACTGTTATTTTAAGAAGATAAGGTCACAAAGCATTGTTCTCCCTGGAAAAAAATCTGGTCACCATTTATTTTTGATAAACCATTCCCTGTTCATAATAGTGATGTCTAGGAGTGTAATATAAAATCAAGTACTGAGAATGTGCACTAATATCTACTCCTGTCGGTTTCAAAAACACATCCCAATTAACAGCGAGCTGGGTAGGTATCCGATTTCAGCCCAAAACAACTAATAAATTTCGTACTAGTAGCAGCGAAACACGCAATTAAATGGACCTTCAATAGAGCAGCGATTCGACCGTAACGTTTTGCAATTATTAGTCACAAACAGCACTTAAGCAAATACAGTAATTGCTGCTGAAATAGGATTTACTAGTATGTGAAAGATCAAAAGATAGATAAACAAATACCGGGCACATGAAATCAACAATGACAATACCATTTATCAGAATGCCTAAGCAAAGAACAAATACTAGTAATTATTTGTAAAAAAATAAACACAGAAATTTATATAATGAAAAATATCTAATTGTTTGATTGCTCTTCGTGAATCTCTAACCAGATTCCGATTACGTAACCTCTCACTGAAAATAGAATGTGATCATTATCATGTACCTGTCAATGACATAATTTCTAAAACGTTGTGATGGCAATGGAATTGAAGATAAACAACATTTTGTACACAATATTGAACGCAAAGAAAAAGTGTTTTAACATGCTGAACAAATCTAAGAAACATTTATTTCAATTCATTCAGATTGAAAATATGTTTGAATATTTTTGGGGGAATAACCTGTCAATACCTCTCGCGCAGTTGTTATCAATAATTACGCAACACAGACAGCAACGCATGCTTTAGTTTGTTTAGTCTTATTCAGTGTTATTTTTCTCTGTTTTTTTTCTTCTTACCCTTTTTACACCTTTCAAGGAATGTTATGTGTCAATAAAATCATTGTTATTATTATGACTAACCGTTTGCGTAAAGGATGAAATGAAAACAATGTAGACTACGTACAGTGGGGGCAATTGTTTACTGTCTCCTCATTGCACTGTTTTCCCGGACTGTCTTTAGTTATCAGTGTGAGAACTAAACAGAGGGCACTCTTGGTCAAAGTACCATGTTTTTTTCAGCAATAGTTGCGCCATGAACTGTGGTTACGTGTTGTTTACACGGAAGAAAACGGCTATCCGCCGGGCCACCGGCACCGTACAACCGATTCGAAAAGTACAACAAAAACTGTTCCAAGCTCACGTCACTTTTGCGACCATTGACGAGGATTATTGATATGTACGAAGAGTGCTCGGTGGCCATATTAGAAAACAATTGACAGAAACAACTCTCGGCGCTTTTTAAGTAAAAATGGTCCAAAAACTGCGTTTTCGTCGCTCATTATATTTAATGGTGAGCGCTCAAACCGTGGTTCATACCTACAACCTCCGGTGGGTCGGGGTCACAGTTGGTTGTACTCAATACGTTAGTTTTGTGGATGGTGGAGTTCATTGACCTGCACCTCAGCAAGAAAACCGCGGAGCACGTCAGATCAATCCATGAACGAAATCACAAGCCACGAATAGCTGATTATACGCGTTTTGAAATATCAAGTTTTTGCGATTTTTGTTGTTGCCATCACGGTTACTAAAACAGAGTAAATGTGTTGCCATGTACCGCAGTTTTTGAGAGTTTGTAGTTTGCATTTGCCAGAAATATTTCATTCTTATCTTATTCGTGAGCATAATTTAAGTAATATGTCCTGGTAGAGTGAAAAGAAGTATTTGCACTAAACAATTAAAACTTGTATGTGTAGATTATTTTAATGTGAGTCTCATATACGGTGGCCACGTTTCACACTCACACCGTGACCAACGTTTCTAGAAACGCGCTAAATCCCAAAACTCTTTTTTTGCATTTTTTTTAAAACTCGTAGATGTTTGTTTCAAAAGCTAGTAAACACATTTTTTAAAAAAATAACACAGTAGTACTAGTACACCAGACATCTCAAAGAAACGGGTGGATTATGTGCGAAACTCAGTGGCGGTGGCACGGGGGACGGAGGGGGCGGTCGCGTGCCCCTTCCAAATCAAGCTGAAACCTTTTGTGTCAGCAAAAATTGACCCTGAACATGCAGAAAATAGCGTTTTAGAGGGTCTAGATTTCAGATCCCGCCCCTCTTGCAAAGTTTCGTGCCGCCGCCTCTGAAAAATAATGTCATGCAATTGCAGATAAAAGCAATGACCCATTTAAATGTACCAATTGAAGTTGGTGTGGTAAAACAGTGTGGAGATTTATGGGCATTTCGTCATACCATGGAAGGAACTATCATTAGTACCGTCCATGGTCATACTAAAGTGAGATTAGAATACAGATATATATCTTGTGGCCATCTTTATTACCTCCGAACCCCAGAATAATTCACGGTGCATGTTAATTATATCTTGTTTTTGAATCTATTTTCAACAAAATCTTCCCATGTATGCTTGAGAAACGGCCACGATCGGTACCAAGTTTCTTTTTTAGAAAATCGGTCCAAGCACGTGCGCAAAATGATGTCGGAGGCTCGGACAAAGGGATGTAAGCTAAAGCATAAGCCCTCGTTTCGGACTACGCCCGGCAGGAACTAAAATTTGAGCATTTTAAAGTTATTACAAAAAAACTCTGGAGCTCGAACTACTGAAAAACTTGCTCACTGCCCCCAAACTGGACCGCATGCTCAAATTTATTACCTTTTCTGTCATGTAATGAAACTACTATTTACACATCGAACTTGAAGATTCATATCAACAAACCTGTCAAGTTTCAGGTTATTTTGTCGTAATTGAATAGCTAAAAAGACGATTTTTATTGTCCGAGAACTGAGAACTGGCAGCCTCTACCTTGACACTACTATGAACTTATGTGCTGACACACTTTACAGCGGCGCGTGACTATAGAGCCGTAGACGAAGAAGAGGACGGTGAACTTTGAGGAGGTCAATCACCTCTGGTATCAATCAAGTGATATCTAGTTCATTCGTGTGACACTGACCGGCAGAAGACCCATGCCGAAACGAAGAATACACATCACTTATCAATTTACAATATATTGTACTCATTTTTGTCAAATTCAACTCTACGAAATTCAATGCCATATCTCAAAATGCAAGCGCAGTGACTAGATCGATAGAGTACTTTTTATTAGTCCCGTTCGGACGCAGTCCGAAATCGGGGACTTATGTTTTGACCTCTGTGCGTCCGTGCTTTCGTCCGTGCGTGCGTCCGGACCTGAATCTTAGAAAT